CAATATACAATACAGTCTATGGTGTAAATGACTGATAGTGTGAAAGGCATTTTAACTTGAGTTAACAACAGAAAACGCCGTTTTCACGGATTTGTGTCAAGTATATAATGACATCGCTTCAGGTTATATAAGTTAAAACCGTTATTTGCTAACGTTCCCCTAATTCTCCTTCTATCACACACACGAACGCGCGTGTAAAATAAATAAATTATGCACTATATGATCAAACCAATTGCTTCGAAAGGAAAGTGTAAGGAACTTAACAAATAACACTTGTATCGTAGAAATATTAGGTTCGACCCAAAATAATACAAACTTAAAGTAATATCCATTTACTACTAGTCAGCAGGGCGCCAAAGTGCCCGGCTTCCAATTCCTTAACTCCAATTGCAAATGCATAAATCTCTGTAAGTTATCCAGGTGTAAGTTATATGTTATCCAACACCAATAGCCGCAAGTCATTGATGAATGACGTAGTTAATATCCTTGCAAATGCTTACAACAATATACTCATAAGCATATGTATTTACGAGTCGGTAGGATATACGCCCATAGTATGCTTAATGCTGACGATTCGCTGCTTAACAGACATCGTGGGAAAGGAAGATGTACGTAATTTTACGTCAATGAATCAGGGAGGGCGCTCATTTGGAAAGTTCGTCTGTGGCATACTAGTATAACATTGGTTCAAGGCCTTTTCTTTTAATCTCTCAAAATTTTATATATCCAAATTTACGGGCTCAAAAGTTTATATAATGATCACGGTGCAAAATGATGAGTCACGTAAATAAACCACTTTAAAAAACACTGTGGGCTCAAATCACTAGTGGGTCAGTGTGTTTGTTATCGGTATTTTATTCTTGGTGTCAAATACAATTTACACAAATGTTTATATATAGCATTTTTTGTAGAAAAGATAGGGACCAACCTATTTCTTTTGGAGAAAATCGTGGTTATGAATAGTTCCACAGTCTCGCTTACAATCAACTGAAATTGCTATATATCAACATTTCCGTGAATTATAGGTATTTCAATGGGCGTATCAATCGTACGCAGATCGATCCGTGCGCTGTCTTCGCACTCGTGTCAGACCCACGTATCAGGGGAGATGTTACATTTCATTGACTACACATTGTTATTTGGTGTCAGACAGTTCCAAATATCAGAGAAGATGTTAAATTTCATTGACCACACATTGTTATTTGGTTTCATCCAGTCCCACATATCAGAGGACTATCGGGTTTCATTGAACTACATATCGCCATATAGTTTCGGTGCGTCTCACTTTAATATCTAGGTCTTTCTTATTAGTTTTTGTTGCATGTCACGATTTTAAATTTGCTGTCTGTCAAAATAGCGAGGATATAAATACCATTAATCTTCGAAACCAAAATGCGCGTCAAATAATACATTCTATTTAATATAACATCACAAGTCTGGAATATTTGAATAGAACTTGACTAGAAAATAAAGGTTTTAAAATAGCGGATTACGCCAACCACAGCGAATGTCGACGGGGTCGTTGTCGTGTAATGCTGTGGTGAATGCCGCTGTGTCTGTGTCTGTGTTGCTACATATCATTACGCTTTTGTGTAGATTACACTGTTTGATCGTTGACTTAGAAATAGTGTGCATGTCTTGCATGTCTACTGCTTGCTGTCAGTTTTAACTCCCAATTAACAACAACCAAACAGGTGAATTGAGATCAAGTGCATTAAGGTAGTGAGCGGGAAACACAAATTATAGTTTAATTGAGATTAAGACTTTCCTCGCCAGTTACTAATCATGGAGTTATGGCAATGTATATGTTTTAAGAAAGCTGAGATATAGCAGAATACGATCATATATGTTTCATGTTAATATTTGCTCAGGGGATTAAGTTACGATCGTTCCCGTGATTTTTGTTTTGTTTTTTTGTTTGTTTTTTTGCGTGATTGGTCGTTTCTCGGTATTCCTTTTTTCTATGTTTCTGATCTTTTCACTGTTGCTTTATAAGATAATGATCGTTGATAAAGCGTCTCAGAATTTGTATGTGCCTCATAGTTCGGGGGATTGCTTGAACTTTATAGACTAATTTTTTGATTTAGGTTTAGGTTTACTAAACAATGTATTGAAAAATGGTAATACTATTTAAACTGTGGGAAATTGCTTTGCAGATGAGTAATTTGAAGGTGTTCGTATATAAATACGGGAATAAAATATATATTGCATTCGTGAATCATTCAACAATGCAAACATGCCTTGCAACAAGTGCATTACATGTTGGAATGTAGTATTACTATAATTGTATACATCCATTAGACAGACGAGAACACCAAGTATTATTGGAATGTTACGCAATGGGGATCCTTTGCAGCTTCTGATGAGGTTTCGCGTAGAGCAATTTTAGAACCTTCGAAATCACTTGGTAAATAACACTCTCATTGCGAGGTTATAGGTTGTGGTTGTTGTTTTTTTTAACTTTATATAGCGGACTTTTCCGCTATTTACATTGCTGGGTTCCTGAGCTGTTTAACGTTAAAGCGAGAAGAAAATAATGATAAAATACTACCAGTAAGCTAAGAATGACTTCAAAAAAACCCTGCTTTCAAAACCAAATCAAAAAATATATCTCCTAAGAGATCCTGTTTATCTATTTCCTTTCGCTTAAAAAAATAGCTCAAGTCATATTTTAGACACACACTTCACTTTTTTTTTTTGAAATTATAACATAGTATGAAGAGATCACAAATCAGACTACTTTGGAGAAACTATTTTTTTATATTTTAGTACCTCATTATTTACCTACTTGTTTCCGTTACTCAAATAAATACTTTAATTAAAATTCGATTGATTGACTAGATTATTATTTGTCTGATTGCTATTTTAGTATATATATCAGAAGTTGTTTTGTAAATAAACACCCCAGAAAAATACTTTAATATATTATCAGTTACTATTATTTCATGTACTTGTTTTCGATTTTGGTTTTATTTCATTTAAATGTTGTCTTCTTTTGAATAAGAATGTGTTAAGATCAACAAAATTGATATAGTGAAATGCTAACACACAAAATACATATATGGTAAATAAACAAGCAGTCTGTCGGCTGAGATGGCTCCGCTGTTAGCAATGCACATTTCAATTAAAGAACTGAAGATATCATTAGAAAATGAACAATATGTAAGTCCCAAAGCTTTTTAGTTTTCAAGAAGAAGTCGAAAAAGTAAAACATTGACACGGACGACGACGGACGACGAACGCCGGACGCCAACGGACAATCACTCATACGATAAGCTCTGCTCGACAAAGTCGACAGCGGAGCTAAAGAAAATCTTATGAAATTCTCTAACATGTCATTACTTCTGTGCATCCCGGAACAGCGTCCGTAGAACAAGTGGGGTTCTTAATATACATTTCCAAAACCCATGGGGTTACAGTGGTCGCACTGACGTCATTGAAAGTGATAGCATGTTACTAGTAAATCTGTGGTCTTCTCACGAACCCGGTGATTAGGGCCGGTTCAATGTCGAGTCATTCGTGCCTTTCCATTCAACGGTAGAAATATCATGTTACTATTTCGTGTTAAAACTGTGACTGTTATAGCGTAGAGTCGAAACGACGATGTGCCTTTACTTTACACTACGGTCAAAGAGGCCTGTTAACTCACTAGAGATTATCCAGATTTTAAGCGATTATAGACAGTTTAACTTTGAAACGACCTCACAGAAACTGAATAAAGTTTCTTTTCGACATGTTCACAGTCGCAATCATGCGCAATCAAGTCGTGCAATGATTTGCAAATATTAGTACTTTTCTGGAACATGGTTTAATGGTTATATATCTATATCAATAGCCATCGCAAGAGTCGACTTGACGTTTATTGGCTAAAATAGGGCATTCCAAGAACCTAAATCGAGATTTAAGTCTTTAAGATTTAAGAATTTATTCTTATACATACAATGTGTGAATGTGTATGTGTA